GATCCTCTGAATCTTCGATTTGGGACACCATCAAAGCCCTCCCGACAGAGAGCCATCTGGATCATAGGATCCTAGAGTTAGGAGGGGGGCACCATCAAAGCCATCCAGTCTCTGAATGCTAGAGTTGGGATGGAGACTCTCAAAGCCCTCCCAGCAGATGGCCATCCAGCCTCTGAATGCTAGAGTTAGGAGGAACATCATCAAAACCCTCCCAACAGATGGCCATCCAGTCTCTGAATACTAGAGTTGGGAGGGACACCATCAAGGCCCTCCCAACAGATGGCCATCTGAATAATACAATCCTAGAGTTGGGAGGGACACTATCAAAGCCCTCCCAACAGATGGCCATCTGAATAATACAATCCTAGAGTTGGGAGGGACACTATGAAAGCCCTCCCAACAGATGGCCATCTGAATAATACAATCCTAGAGTTGGGAGGGACACCAACAAAGCTCTCCCGACAGAGGGCGATCGGAAGGAGCTGTGGGTGGTGATGGCCGACAGGGAGCTCTGGCGTGGACTGGTCTATGAGGTCACGGAGAGTCGGAGACGACTGAACAAATTAACAACAACAAGAGTTGGGAGGGACACTATCAAAACCATCAAGACAGATGGTCATCTGAAAAATACAATCCTAGAGTTGGGAGGGACACTATCAAAGCCCTACTGGCAGATGGCCATCTGAATAATACAATCCTAGAGTTGGGAGGGACACTATCAAAGCCCTCCCAACAGATGGCCATCCAGTCTTTGAATACTAGAGTTGGGATGGAGACTCTCAAAGCCCTCCCAGCAGATGACCATCCAGCCTCTGAATGCTAGAGTTAGAGTCAAGGCCCTCCCAACAGATGCCCATCTGAATGATACAATCCTAGAGTGGGGAGGGACACCAACAAAGCTCTCCCGACAGAGGGCGATCTGAAGGAGCTGGGCGTGGTGACGGCCGACAGGGAGCTCTGGCGTGGACTGGTCCATGAGGTCACGAAGAGTCGGAGTCGACTGAACGAATGAACAACAACAAGAGTCGGGAGGGACACTATCAAAACCATCCCGACAGATGGCCAGCTGAATAATAGAATCCTAGAGTTGGGAGGGACACTATCAAAGCTCTCCCGACAGATGGCCATCTGAATAATACAATCCTAGAGTTGGGAGGGATACCAACAAAGCTCTCCTGACAGATGACCATCTGAAAAATAGAATCCTAGAGTTGGGACGGACACTGTCAAAGCCCTCCTGACAGATGGCCATCTGAATAATAGAATCCTAGAGTTGGGAGGGACAGCATCAAAGCCCTCCCAACAGATGGCCATCCAGTCTTTGAATACTAGAGTTGGGAGGGACACTATAAAAGCCCTCCCCACATATGGCCATCCAGCCTCTGAATACTAGATTTGAGAGGGGCACCAACAAAGCTCTCCCAACAGATGGCCATCCAGTCCCTGAAAACTAGAGTTGGGAGGGACACCATCAAAGCCCTCCCAACAGATGGCCATCCAGTCTCTGAATACTAGAGTTGGGATGGAGACTCCCAAAGCCCTCCCAGCAGATGGCCATCCAGCCTCTGAATGCTAGAGTTGGAAGGGACACTATCAAGGCTGTCCCAACAGATGGCCGTCTGAATAATAGAATCCTAGAGTTGGAAGGGACACCATCAAAGTCCTCTCAACAAATGGCTGTCCAGCTTTTGAAATCCTATAGTTAGAAGGGACAGCATCAAAGCCCTCCCGACAGATGGTCACCTAAATTATAGGAACCTAGAGTTAGAAGGGACACCATCAAAGTTCTTCCAGCAGATGGCCATCCAGTCTCTGAATACTAGTTGTGAGGGATGCTATCAAAACCCTCCCAACAGGTGGCCGTCTAAATAATAGAATCCTAGAGTTGGGAGGGACGCCATCAAAGCCCTCCCGACAGATGGCCATCCAGTCTCTTCCAGATTTGGAAGAGACTCCCTCCAGGGCTGCCCAGTCCAACCCCCTTCTGCCAGACAGGAAGGCACCACCAAAGTTCTCCTGGCAGACGGCCATCTGGTCTCTGCTTCAAACTCTCAGAGAAAAGTAGCGTATTCCACTGTTGAGCAGCTCTTCCTGAAATGTCGGTTGGATGTATTTATCTATTGACTGTATACCCTATCCATCTCTCAGGCCCCTTTTACACTTCCATATAAAATCCAGATTATCTGCTTTGTACTGGATTATATGAGTCTACACAAGGAATGGGGAAACTTCAGCCCTCCAGGTGTTTTGGACTTCAACTGTTCCTAACATCTGGAGGGCCGAAGTTTCCCCATTCCTTGTGTAGACTTGTATAATCCAGTTCAAAGCAGATAATGTGGATTATCTGCTTGATAATCTAGATCATATGGCAGTGTAAAAGGAGCCTCAGGGAGGGATCCAAGGTGACTTCCAGTGATTTAAAAATCCCACATTATGGGATTTTTTATAAAGAATTAAATATAATATAGAGAAATACGGTGATGTTCTTTGCATAAGTCTCTGCGACTATTATGCAAGGAACACAAAAATACCAATGTTGCACCCCCAAATGGGAGTGTGATTATTATGCAGTGGCGACTCTTTATGTGATGAAATACAGTGATGTTCCTCACATAATAGTCTCTGCGACTATTATGCAAGGAACACAAAAATACCAATGTTGCACCCCCAAATGGGAGTGTGATTATTATGCAGTGGCGACTCTTTATGTGATGAAATACGGTGATGTTCCTCACATAATAGTCTCTGCGACTATTATGCAAGGAACACAAAAATACCAATGTTGCACCCCCAAATGGGAGTGTGATTATTATGCAGTGGCGACTCTTTATGTGATGAAATACGGTGATGTTCCTCACATAATAGTCTCTGCGACTATTATGCAAGGAACACAAAAATACCAATGTTGCACCACCACCACCCCCCAAAAAATGAGGGTGTGATTATTATGCAGTGGCGACTCTTTATGTGATGAAATACGGTGATGTTCCTCACATAATAGTCTCTGCGACTATTATGCAAGGAACACAAAAATACCAATGTTGCACCACCACCACCCCCCAAAAAATGAGGGTGTGATTATTATGCAATGGCGACTCTTTATGTGATGTAATACGGTGATGTTCCTCACATAATAGTCCTTGCGACTATTATATGAGGAACACAAAAATACCAATCCTGCCACCCAAAAAATGGGGGTGTGATTATTAAGCAGTGACAACTCTTCATGTGATGAAACACAATGACTTTCCCAGATACAGAGAAATGGAACCAGTGATCTAAGAGCCATAGTAAAGGTAAAGGTTGTCCCCTGACATTAAATCCAGTCGTGTCTGACTGGAGTGTGGTGCTCATCTCCATTTTTAAGCCGAAGAGCCAGCGTTATCCATAGACACCTCTAAGGTCATGTGGCTGGCATGACTGCATGGAGTGCCCTTACCTTCCCACCGGAGCAGTACCTATTGATCTACTCACATTTTGTATGTTTTTGAGCTGCTAGGTTGGCAGAAGCTGGGGCTGACAGCGGAAGCTCATGCCACCCCAGATTCGCACCTGCGACCTTTCGGTCAACAAGTTCTACAGCTCAGCGGTTTAATCCACTGCACCACTGGGGGTTCCCAGCTAAGAGCCATACATCTATCTAAATTCCCATGTAGCATGTATTTTCACCCCTTAAGTTATCTTTTTCCCATGTCCCATGTCTCCTGAACTAAGGAGCAATGTTTCTATTAGCACCTCGGTTGGAATTTATACTATATTCCAGATGAGAGTGACGCCAGAAGTAAAAGGAGGCAAACCAAAAGCGTATCATTTTATGTCCTAAAGTGTATATCCTATTTGGTTTGGAGTTTCCTTAGCTCTATATACTTGAGGCAGTGGGAAAGGCTGCAGCATTAGGAAGGTTGAGAACCACTGCTCTGTTTGATGTTTGTCTGCTTATAATGTGTCATTTTATTTCCTAAAGTGTATGTCTTATTTGGTTTGGAGTTTCCTTAGCTCTATAAACTTGAGGCAGTGGGAGGGGCTGCAGCATTAGGAAGGTTGAGAACCAGTGATCTAAGAGCTATACATCTTTCTAATTTCCTGTGTAGCAGCTATCAAGTAGCAACAAAAACAGTGTTTTGGTTGGGGATCACCACAACATGAGGAACTGTATTAAGGGGTCGTGGTATTAGGAAGGTTGACAACATCTGCTCTGTTTGATGTTTGTCTGTTTATAACGTGTCATTTCATTTCCTAAAGTGTATGTCTTATTTGGTTTGCAGTTTCCTTATCTCTATGTACTTAAGGCAGTGGGAGAGGCTGCAGCATTAGGAAGGTTGAGAACCACTGATCTAAGAGCCACACATCTATCTAAATTCCCATGTAGCATGCACTTCCACCTCTTAATTTATCTTTTTCCCGTGTCCCATGTCTCCTGAACTAAGTGTATGCCTTATTTGGTTTACAGTTTCCTTATCTCTGTGTACTTGAGGCAGTGGGAGGGGCTGCTGCATTAGGAAGGTTGAGAACCACTGATCTAAGAGCCATACATCTATCTAAATCCCTATGTAGCATGTACTTTCACCCCTTAATTGATCTTTTTCCCGTGTCCCATGTCTCCTGAATTAAGGAATTAAGGAGCAATGTTTACATTGGATGGTTGGAATTTATACTATACTCCAGATGAGAGTTTGCCTACTCTGGAACATGCAACATATCATTGTCGTTCTTTAAGGGTCCCTTTCAAATCTATGGTACTATATCTGTGTGTGTGAATCACATCTGTCTATCTATCTATATCTATCTATCTATCTAT